TAAGCATGCCATAACTCTTAAATGCTGAATTGGACCAACCAAATTTGATTCATGTAAAAGTATCAATAAAGATATTAGAAGAAGAAGATATATTTTATTAACCCCTAATAGGGAAAATATTTTTTATTCATATATTATATGTTATATATAATTATTAATATTTCATATGTTTTAGTGAAGTCCCATAATTTGACATCGTCTTTCAGAACGGTTAATAAAGATTTTTATAGTGCTGTAGATACAAGGCAGTGGTCAGTGCTGTAGATACAGGGCAGTGATCTGTACTGTCTATTTGATTCATATTAACAATAATGATATTATAAATATAAATTTTATTTGTAAGTTTTAGTGAAGTCCAATAATTTAAGTATTCAATTATGACCGATTTCGTGTGGCATCTTCAAATGTAAATCACAAATACTTCTTGCACTGGACTTTTTAAAATTATCATTAATTCGTCAGAAAAAATGCCAACATCTCCGTCTGATTCAACTTCCATGAAAGCATCAAGGATTAGATCCACGTCTTTTCACATTTATTATAAAACATTAAAAAAGTCATAAAACATTAAAGAGGGTAAATGAATGATGAAATGAAATAATAATTCACTAAGAGAGATTGTCTGCTGCTTATTCACAGTCGCAAAGTCCTGCTGCAAATAAAAACTTCTGATACGTATCAGGGTTAACAACAAAATAAATTAAGAAAAATAATTAAAAAAACAGTAAAATTAAATGGAAAGGAAACAAGAAAAAGTAAACAAATAAACAGTTTTACATTATTACTATTATTTTTTATCCATTTATTACTCTTTTTAAATGTTCTTTGTTTTTTGGTTTAAACTTTCATTAGAGCCTGACAACGGTTTTCAGAGACTGAAGAACCTTTAATCGAATTATCCAACACAAAATTGAATTAAATGGCTGTGAAATGTTTGCCCTCCAATCTTCTTCCTCCTCCTCCTTCTCCTCCAGCTCCAGTTACTGACCTGTTCCCAATTACCGTTAATGTGTCCTTGGTGAAGGTGAGGCTGACAGGAAACTGAATTTATGGGTCGCTCTGTTACTTCTTGCTTCAGTCATGCGAGACAGACACAGTCAGCCCGTCGCCCACCTGAGCAGGTGAATAAGTTTGACCTTCGCTCACTCACATCATAGAAACTGGTCCTTTAAGCTGAGTATCAACTGTCCATCAGATTGCCCTGTAAAACCTAATGAGTTAGTTAAACTCAGACTGTTTGAGGGCACAGATTGCCTTCAGCAATATAAGTATAACAAATATTTGATTTGAGTAGAAGTATTTATTGTTAAGGTAACTTAAATTAAGTTAACTGAACCAACTTAGAATTATTCAATTATTACAACTGATGTTTAAAATGGTAGCAAATTAATGTGTTATTACTGTAATAAAGTTGTTAACAACTATATTTATTTTTGAGTTGGGTTTAATTCATAGGAATGAGTGAATCTAGTTCACGCAGTGCTAAATTAGTGATGTAAATTAGCTTAATAATTAGGGCCCAAGCAGCGACCACTGCGAGGACCCTATTGAAACTGCTCCGATTATTATTTATTCCCCAATGATTTGCATTTTGTCCGTCCACAATATAATTCAGCAGTGGTGGTGGGTATCGTATATGGGCTCCACAGAGCCCCCTAAAGTGCAGCCCCTGAGGCATATTTTACTGACATGTATGAAAACTGGCAGGCACATGTATCATGTCTAAACGTACAAAAAAGCCTCTTGGACCCATACCCCAAACCCAACAGGAAGTCGATCATTTTGAATTTAGTGGTAATATACTATTTATTTTATTTGCACACGTATTCTAACAAACTCCTCAAAGAGAATTGATCGGATCAACTTCAAATTTGGTCTAAATGTACACAATGTAAATGTGTACTATTTGTGACTGTGTGTCAGTGGCTTGGCACCCAATTTCAACATTTCAGCATAAAACAGTAAGCTGTCATAACTTCAGTGTATTTTATCCAATCTCCACCAGTAGTGGAAACAGGAAGTGACATATTTCATGATTGTATGTACTACTACTAGCAGGTTGATCAGATCCTGCTAATATTTGGTCAGACGACCCTCAAGACATTGATGATGATATGTTATGCGTCATGGGTTATGGCAGTTTATGAGGGCTAAACATCCTCCCTTCAATGAAGCAGCCCTGGCGACACGTTTCACACAAACATTTGTAGGCACATGTGTCATGTCCAGACGTCCTGGACCCATACCCTAAACCCAAAAGGAAGTCGGCCATTTTGAGTTTAGTGGTCATGTCGGTGGTACCGATGCCTGCAGACCGCAAGGGCCTGTTCATTGCTTTAATTCTTTACTTCTTTTTGGTTTTAGAGGCGCTGCTGGTCAAATAAAGTCTCCTGTCCTGGAGCTGTGCAGAGGTCTGACTTCATATGTGGAGGTCTGATGTGACCATAGAGCTGACTGAAATAATCAGCTTTAATTAAATGATGAAAACTGACTGTTATGGACTATGTTTGTTTCATCTGAAGCTGTCAGTCTCTGTTTTTCTCCTCCTTCAGTACAACGATTATCTGAGTGGTTGTAAACCAATAAACATCCACTTCATCAGTATTATTCCACAGTAAATCAGAGGGACAGACATCACTATGGTCTGACCAGGCCTGTTTCCATGGTGATGGGCTCCCAGGCTCCCACCCTGTCGACATCCCATCGCTCACTGCTGCGGCGACCTTTATCCAGAGATAAATCATTCAGTAGCGGCCCGTGGACACGACTTTAACGAGATTTTGTCACCCTGCTGAACACGGCGAGAGCGGCAGCGTCCTCCTGCCCCGACACACCGACAGGATTCAATCAGAGCCGCCGGCAGGGGGAAAAAAAACCTTGACATTGTCATACCGGGAGGAAGTAATCTGCTGAACTCCAGCACTGACTGAACACAAGCTTCCCTGCAGAGGTCTGACGCAGAGAATCATGGGAACAACCACATCATTTCTGTTCAGATCTAATCAGACGACCGCCTGAACAACCCAAGTTACAAACGACTCCTCAGAGTTTAATAGTGATACAACTGTCACTGATCTGCTGCGTGTGCAGAACCTGGAGGCCAACTAAAGGTTAAAGAAGTGAATAAGTTCCTGAAAAAGAACATTAATCTCAACAAATCTACCTCGGTTAAAACATGCTGAAAAAAACCATAAACACTTAAAAAGAGTTCTGACACGTTTCTACCTGAATTCACCAAAACCATGATCCAGAGCCGCCCTGTGTCCTAGATCAGGGGTTCATTTGTCTGAAGAAAACTGAATGAAATTGATATTTTTAAAGTTTAAATGATCCTTTAAGATCTCAACTTTGAAGACCTGATCACAAGCTTATTATTATTCTCAGAGCCTTCACTGTCATATCAGGAAAATTCAACTCTGATCAATATTCACAGCAAACAACCTCAAAATTTGCCCAAATTGCTTGTTTTAAGAATAATTCTTGCACTTATTTCTTTCACTATTTGGGTTCATCAATTACAGTTTATCAGTTGTTCTGTACAATTGATAGTTGTTATGCATTGAATGTAATATGAAGAATATAAGAAAAGGTGTCCCCTCAAGGAAATAGTTGGGAATCAGTGCTCCAGATATAAGCCTACATTAAAACTATCATAAAGGCAGATACGTTTTTTTTTTTAAACGACGTATTGATTTTGCAAAACAAGTAAAATAGACGATAATACAGCGTATGCTTTAGGGCTGGGCTACCTTGTAATTGACAAGTCATTCTTAATGAGTCCGTCCAGCTCAATTGAATAAAAAAATTAACTAAAAATTTACAAAAAAACATAAAAAATGCAACAAAGGCGGATTAGACTGTCAAACTAGGCAGTGGTGATTCCATCGCTGTCAAACTCACAACAGCTGTTGGCATGTGACAAACTCAGCGTTCGTACCCGCCGGCGAAACATGACTCGATGCTGCCAGTTGAGATACTTTACATCTGATGTGTGTCAACTAACAGTTGATGATCATGCGGGAACGGGAAGTAATTTAGAGTTCTGTCACGAATAATGTAGAGGGGAAGAAGAAAAACAGTGACTGGAATATAAGTCTTGATTTGACAACAGTGAGACCTCAGTAACAGCTGTAATGACTTGTTGTGGTTGAGATTTATGTTGCATGTTGACGTGTGGGCGCCTTCATCCTGAGCACAGAAAACAGCCCATCAGTCAGAGTGACGGAGGTCTTTAGAGGACTGACTGACACTCTCATCCATCTCCATTTGTCAGACTGATGTTTAAATATTCAGCTTACAGAGGCTGCAGGCTTCATTACAGACACAATAACAACCTGATGATTTATCTGCTCCGAGAGGATCACCTAGCCTGGGAACCGATCTGAGATCATGATGCTACTTCTTGTTACGACTGTATCACGTCGAATGTCAGATTTTACTGCAGATAAGAAAACACTGTAAAAAAGTGTTTATTTTACAGGTTTCTTCTGTATTTTTTAAATACATTGAAATATAAATAAGAGTACAAAAATAAAAATCTGTGAAAAACTGTAAAAAATCATAAAATTACTACTATTTTCCACATAAAAAGACTTTGCACATTTGCAAATCTATATTTACTGTTTATTTGATATATTAAAGTTTCAACCGCACATACATTTCTAAAATGATGTACAATTAGTGACAACAGTAAAGAAAAGTTTTTATATGGATTTGTTTGTTAACTGACCGATATGTTGTATAATGATGGAAGTTGAATAAATGTTGTTTATCAGTGTATAAGCATTGGTAAACTGTCCAAATACAGTTTTTATCAGTGTAAACAGCAATAATTACTGTAATTTCACAGATAATGACTTTTATTACAGTTCTATAACTTTTAAAATTCGGATTAAAATAAGAAAAATAAATATGTAGATGTAAGCCTGATCATTTTTATTATAGCAGATTTCACCTGTATTTAGAGCTCATTGCATAGTTTTTACAGTGTAAATACCTTTAATTAAACATTAAAAAGATGTTAAATTAAAGATTATTATTACAGAAGATTACTGTATTTTTATGAGTCAGTTATTTTCTGTTATTTTACTGTATTTCTTTGGTGCTCCAGTTGCTGAAATATAACAGTATTTTTTTACAATTTTCTCTTATGAGACAAAATATCAGATTTTCCTGCAGTAAATAAAAACATGGATAAACCCTGCAGATAAAAGAAGGATAAACTCGAGTGTGATTATCCTTTCAGACTCGTGCCTGGCAGCAGAGTCCTGGTCGGCCTGCGGTTTAAATTCTGTCTGTCAGAGAGACTAACCCTGGCTGACGTGTGAGGCTTTGGTCTTAAAGAGACCTCGGTAAAATACACCACACCTGCTCGCTTCAAAGCCGCAAATCAATCCCTGCTGCAGAGAGCTCATCCTGCCGTAGAGGAGGAGTTTAATCTCCTATTGCAGAGATTCCCCCATCCTCAGCTCCTCTCTGGTCTCAAAGGACTCATCTTGAAAGTGAAGGACCGTCTCCTCCTGTTGGCTTTCATCAGGCTGCGTTTTAAACTGAGAGCTTTGAGACGGTTTGACGCTGAACACAGAGTTTTGTCACCACTGCCTTCAGATCAGGCAGCAGGTTTTAATTTGGACTTTGAAGTTTGAGGAAGGCTGTTGTCTGCAGCAGAGAGTCCCCGTCATGTTTTCTGAATCCGACGGGACTCAAGTTAAATGCTGTCAGGGCGGAGACGTCTGCGGAAATCAAATCATGTCGTACAGACGCTCCTGTGACACGAGACATTATCTGTTGTTCCAGTTGTTGGATCTTACTGAAGAATCCAGTCCACCCCCTACAGTTTCACTTATACACTGCTAAATATGGACAGCTGTACATTTGTTATGATTACACTACTGATGATCAAAAACTTGCTGATGAGTGACAGCTCATCGTACCAACAGTTGAGTTTCAAACTAAATATGGATCCAGGTTAGAGTGAGGGGCTAAAGTACAATTAAAATGTTCCAGGATAACATATTTCCAGGACATTTTAATCTGTTTCCATGACTGGAAAACTAGTCTCTAAATTTCTAGGTTTTTCAGCGAGAACCCTGCGTCACCAAGCTCTCTTTAGCCAACCACTAAAAGTCCGTCTCACATATACTCTTGTCCCGAGGATTCACTCTCCTTTTTTCTTCTTAGCTTCCTCCGTCAACCAACTACTACAAATTCTACCAGAAACGTCAATTTCAGGGTACACGAATTGCAAATTTAAAGCGTCTTCAGTGTGGCTGACGTGGTGTGCTTCCTGTGCTCTCAAAAGTTGAGATTTTTCCATCTTTGTGAGGCGTGGACACGCTAATAAATCTATTTTCCAGAGGGAAAACCAGAGAATATTTTCTCCATATCCAGTTTCTGATTCAGTTTCACCAAAATGACATGATACTGAAGATGATATTTTAAAGTAGAAAAGTTACATAATGATGCTGAGGCCTCATTTAAACTATCCAGATAAAATTCAGGTGAGGTTAACTTCACTTTAATTTACACACAATCTGTCTTGGTTTTCTCAGCTGAATGCAAATCAGAATTATTTCCAGTCCAGAAGAACTTTTAATAACAGGCAAGTAGCTTGACGTCTTCCTGGATCCACATTTTTATTACACACATAAAGACCGCTCAGCTGTAGCTGGTTTTTAATGATTTTCTGCCATCAGACAGCGGCCATGTTGGCTCTGAGCCGTCAGTTTCCTTCAGGAAGCTTCCAGCTGCTGGCAGGTTCTCCTCCTGGAAGGGGTGATTTTACCTGTTTGATTGCTTTCAGCTCTCTTTGACTTGTTCTATTCTCGTCTACAGCCCCTACTGCTGTGACCCAATTTCAGCATTACGATCAATACAGTTTCATTTTTATCAAATCCAGAGAATGAGTGAAAAACAAAGTCACGGAGGGAATAAAGAGAGAGTCGGAGGAGAGTCGGTGATGTAAACACACTTTTCCTCCATCAGCAGTGTGTAATAGGCTCTGAACTCTATTGTATTCAAAGAAAAGGAGCTTCTGACCCAATAAAAGTCAAATCAGCGGTGAAGAAAAAGCACAAATCTCCTCAGCTAGGCTTCCACAGGTCGGATCCGCTGGTAGCGGGTTGGGCTACATTGAAAGGAGCGTTTCTGTTTAAGAAACACTCCACGTTTTCCTGTCCCTGAACACATTGCTCCCTCCAGCCTCAACCTGCTTAGAGAAACACTCTCCGGATCCTTTATGTCCTCCTTTCTCAGACTGTCGTCATCATTACATCGTCTCAACAATGTTTCTCCTCACATTCATCATCAGTGTAATATCTTTACAAACACATCCTTGAAAGAAAATTCTGGTTCAAAACTGATATAACTTTGCACTTTTGAGTTTCCAGACTGCAAGAATAAAATGAAAGAATATGCTATATAGCTTCCCCAAAGTGATCACTGAAAGACTCACTTACTACCTCACGTGTCAGTAGATCTGCCATTCAGCATCAAAGGTGAGCAAACCTTGGAGATGCTAGCAGCTAACGGTTCTCGTTATTTTTTGCAGGCTAAAATTAGTAGAATTAGTTTGTTAAATAAGTTGAGAAACTGTATTATGGATGTTTTTATAGACAACAACTGTCAGATTATGCTGCAGTACGTTCCTCGCATGCAGTTTCTGTAGCCTACTACAGTTAACACAGCAGATAATCATGAAGAAGATGTGTTAAATATTTTATATTTTTAATTCACAAAGGAAGGAGTCACTTCCATCTGTTTCCCAGCATGCTTTGTGGTCCTACCTGAGCAGGATCAGTTTCACCTTGGACGCGGCGCTCTTAATGATGGCCGAGGCGTTCTGATGACTCCGCCCATAAAGGACCTGGTTGTTAATCTGAAGAACAGAGAGATATTGATATTTGAACTCATTTCCATAAAAACAAACAATAACAAATTTTTATTGATACATCAATAAATAAGGGAGAGTTAAATATGATCACATTAACATCTACAACAAAAGAAAAAAGAACGAAGAAAGGTTTTGGGGCAGCTCCACTGGCTGCAATAAAAACCAATACCATACAGTCTCAGTCTCTAGTTTCAGTCTTCTTCCATACAGCATGATGTTCATTTAGTAACTGATGGTCCCATTTAGAGTAAAACAGACCATAAAGCAGGGTATGCTTTAGGGCGGGGCTACCTTGTGATTGACAGCTCATTCTCAGTGAGTCCGTCCAACACACCAAACTCCAAACTAACCAGGACCTCAGAAATGACATTTTGGAGCATTAGGACAGTCTTTGGTCCCTATGAGGATTACCGGTCCCAACAAGGTCAGTGTGTATACGAGAAAACGTCCCCAAGAGGTAAAAAAAAACATGTAAATACACACAGGTTTTAATTAATTTATAAATTAAATAACCTAATTGAGACGGACATTAATTGAAAGGTCATTGAACTGTAAGATGGTAAATTAAGTAAAAAGCTACCACACCTGCAAATGTTAAATCAATGTCTCATCTACACCTACATACACACCTACACACACACACACACCTACACACACACACACACACACACACACACACACACACACACACACACACTGATAGAAAAGTAAAAGAGTTTCTATTTTCTTATTTTCTTCTCTCATCACATGATGTTCCATAATATTTGTATAATAGATGAACCTGATGTTACACACTCCTTTTTATTATATGGCCTTTTGAACTAATGCATCTGTATGTTTGTCTTATCAATGCAAATGGATGTGTGCGTGTGTGCGTGTGTGTGTAATCGTCCAGGCTTTCCTCGGCTCAACATCTATTTTTCATGCAGTCTGTGACACCGCTGTAATGAGGAGGAGGCGAGAGAGAGGATGTCAGTGTTTCTCTCTTTAATATTAATGTGAATCTCCCACACACACACACACACACACACACACACACACACACACACACACACAGGTTGTTGACTTTTTGCACATGATGTTGTTTGTCTCGTCCACGCTGCCCTACAGAGGCTAAAATAATAATATATATTCTCTAAGTAATCATAACCAATGATTTGACCTGTTACCCCAAAAATGTAGATAATAAGATTATACACTTGTGTTACCCAACTGTAAACCGTGACGTTACCCATCGGTTTTTGGAGAACCACTTTGAAGCCTCAACTCGTCTGTATCGGGAAACATTGGCGGCTCTCCTGCTCACACAGGATCTGGTATTCCAGATAAACAGTAAAATGTGTTTGTGAACAGATTTGAGGAGAGAAATAGTCAACAACAGAATCTGGATCCATATCTGATCAGCACTGTTTGACAGTTTGATCTGAGTTTGGTGCGTTGAGCTGGACGGACTCACTGAGAATGAGCTGTCAATCACAAGGTAGCCCCGCCCTAAAGCATACCCTGCTTTATGGTCTGTTTTACTCTAAATGGGACCATCAGTTACTAAATGAACATCATGCTGTATGGAAGAAGACTGAAACTAGAGACTGAGACCAGAAACTCATCAGGAAACTGTTTACTGAGCTCATAAATCAACTGAGAAGTCGACTCATTTCTCCATAACAGTGGTATCAGTGTGTTATTGCAGCCAGTGGAGCTCCCCCTGCTGGACATTACGTAAAATTCAGACACTTCACAGACCTGGAGGCTCCGTCTCTTAAATATACTGTGAAAGTATATTTGCATAAACATGAAATTACATATTATTAAATGTGTATTTATATATATCTTAATTATATACATTTTATATTTGTTTCATTCATTTAAGTGTTATTTTATGAGCTTTAATGTGTAATTCTTGCTGTATAGATAAGTAACATAGTGTGTAATGTAACACCTGACTATAGTTGTACTAACTGCTCCCTGTAACACCTAAAATAAATTAAAATACAAGCGAGAGAGAGAGAGAGAAGAGAAAAGAGTACAGCTGTTGTAAGACTACCTGTCCTTTATTAAAACTGTGTGAATGTGATGAGAAGATATTTCTTTACCTGCAAAGCGCAGAAAGACAAACACACATCTGAAACGTCGGATTATTTTTAGGACTTTATGTTCAAGAGTAATTCAGTGAGAATAGAAACCTCCACCGCCGTCATCAATATGCATCTCCAGACTACAACCGCTCTGACAGCTTTATGTGGCTGCGCAGCGGTCAGAGCTAAATGCTAACCAACAAAGCTTCAGGTGTACGAGAATATTAATCACCAGGATACAAGCAGGTGCAGCTTCAGCGTAAATGTGATCCAGTCTCACCTCCAGCAGCTCGTCTCCAACCCTGATGCGTCCGTCCCGAGCGGCTGGCCCTCCCGGATGGAGTCCCACCACGAAGATGCTGAGGCGGGAACGGTCCCTGTTTCCCGCCAGGCTGAGACCCAAACCCTGCCGCTCCTTCTCGAGCTCCACGCACAGCAGCTCCCCCCGAAGGTCTCCATAACGCTCACACCAACGCTCTGCAGGAGGAGGAAGAGGAGGGTTAACAGAGGCCTTCAGTATCGCTCTGACAGCTGTAATAATGGAGACGTTCTCAACAGTCCACCAACCTGATACCACCGTTTATTTATTACCCTTTCTGTAGCAACACAGAGAGGACTGTGGAAGATTACAGCTAACCAGTTGGAAAACATGACTTAAAGGAGAGCGATGGTGACTTTTACAGTAATGGACAAAACCAAGTTACGATGATGTAAGTACGTTTCCAGGAGGGAGCTGCAGGTCTGTGCTCACAAAGTAATCGTTAAAATCATGAAGGTTTAGATTCATAATAATATAAAAGAGTCATGGAGCAGATTTTTATCAGAAAGTAAACTTCAGGAAGAAGCTGAAGTCCATTTTGAAATGACAAATGTGTTTAAGCAAAGGAGAAATGTGCCTTAAAAGCCCGACTGAATGGAGACATCGTTATACTGTCAGTCACACAGCGACTCCATAATCACACAGCCATCATTAATGTGGGACTCTTTCTCTACCCTCCATTAAGGAGAGGCGGAGGACAGAAAAAGATCAAAGAAAAGACAGGAAACACAAACAGAGAACGAGACATGGACCTCTTCTCTTGTAACAGCACTGCTGCATAATAACTACGGTGGCTGAGAGGTATCAGCAAACAGCAAAAACCACAACAGTCACATCGAGGTTCACATCCAAACACGGATCACTGTTGTTTCCTGTTAACTCTGATTACTGTTGCTGTGCGATTGTGACAAATTATGTAATTTAATATATATGATATATTTAATATTAATGCACTCTGCCATTTAATGCTAGGCTAGGATGAAGCTAGCTGTGCTGTAGCATTGCATCTTTCAGCTAACGTCCACTGATCAGGTTTAGTTGTTGGGAGCTGATGGAGCGTTGGTGCTGTGGAATATTTGAATGTAAAGTAAAATAACTTTACATCTAACCAGAAAGAAACAGTAATCAGAGTCTGCTAGCGAACAACGTTCTCTTCCACAGTAGCATTAATAGCTGTTTGCTCTCAGTTCTCACTTTTCTTCTGTTTGTGGACGTTGTTACCTGTAGACAACCGAGGGAATAATATGTTTTGTATCTGAATGTTGCAGAATTTTTGAAAAAGAAAGTAAATAAAAACTCTAAATGAAAATTATATACATTTAAATAATTAAAGCAAATAATTAAATATTCAGCTGACTGGTCGTCAAGGAAAATCTTTAGTCGGGGACAGCACTACAAATTTTATAACTTTTTTTGTGGATACAAAACAAGGCAGAACCTCTTCTTATAATTCTGAACATTTTTAGGAACTAACTTTAATTTTGCCAGATTTTAGCCCCCCTGCTCAGCACCAGTGAGGAGAGAGGAAGAGGAGGAGGATTTATGGAGGGAATAATCGGATATTAGAGAGTAAAGAGAGAGAGGACGAATAAATGAGAGAAGGATGAGACGTGGCGGGAGGAGGCGTATTAAATTAAATTTGGTGTCAGACAAAATGCTGCTCAACAGTCCGTGAAACAAACAACAAACAGAAACGTGAGTGAAATATAAAACTGGGATTAAAAACAGGATCCTGTCTGACGGAGGATTAGAGACACGCGGCGGCCGTCTGAGTGAAAAACTAAACGTTTGAGAGCTCACGTGGTTCCTGACCTTTAACTGAAATAAAACCTGAAGACGAGGCGACGTTCCTTTGAGAACCGCTGCTGCTGCTCTGGAGATACGAGGAGTTCTGTGTGTTTAGTAACTGACAGCTGTGATTTGAACATCTGCAGTAATATACTGATTTAAAGTCGCCGCAGTTATCCGAACAGGACGCAGATGAACTGGTTCAGTGGGTGAATCCCCTCAAACTGAACCTCAACAGCGTCAGTTACAGAATATACTGACATATTCTGGATTTAACAGGTCATATGAAGAGATATACGCTGATATTTAGATACTTATATTAACAGGCTGTTACTGTAACATCAGTCCAGTGATTATTCTACTTGTTGAGTACACCAAAGTTTGTTAGAAATGTACAGTATGGATCTCCAGCGTATGTTGGATAATTAGCATAATTAGCATTAATAATCAGTTATATAGACAATATTTCAACAACTGATTGGTTGATTATACAAATTACAATATAGGGCATTTATATTTTTAATACATAACTGTAAAGACACAGGTTTGAAGAAATATTACGTCCGAACATTCGCATTGATGAACATTGAGCTTTCTTGATTTTAAAACGCAGGTCCAAGGTATATTTATATTAATCATATAAATAACCTCAAATAAACCACTGAGAGTTGAAATATGGTCAGTTACCGTTTAAACATCCATTTTATATTTCCAAATGCCAGAAATGTGGATTCAGCATCGTCAACAACCTCCAAAACCAACTCCTATATTGTCCAAATCAGCTGCTGAAATATTGTCCATATAGCTGATTCTTAATGCTAATTATGCTAATTGAGCAACACATGCAAGGTAGCATCCGTCAGTTTCTAAATGCTGAAGACCCAAACTGAACATTTCTCACAGGAAACATTTCTGGGAAATTGACTAAAAGATGATTTCCGAGAGAGGCTGAGAGGAGGAGGAGGAGGAAGAGGAGGAGGAGATGAGATGTCATGCGTGGTGAGAGGATGAAGATACAGAGAGAACGAGATAATGATGACAAATGTAAAGAGAGCGATGGAGTGAGAAACGGAGGAGAGCGAAGGAGTGAGATTGATGGAGGATGAAGAGAGAGGGAGGTGGCGGTGTGAAGGAGGTCCAGGTGTTTAATTCCCTCGCTGTGGAATGAGGAAGAGGAGCGACGAGGAGGACGAAGGCACAGACAGATGTTGGTTCATCAGTGGTGTGTTTTCAGTTTCAGATCGTCCAAGAGTGACATTTGTGTCTTTTAAAATTCAAATTTAGCTGAAATTATAGTTTTCTGGCCACAAAAGAAACACGACACTGATGTATGAAGTTAATATTTTATATTAAATTTAGTTTTAAGCCTTTAGACAGAAGAATATTTCACTTGAGCCTTTTAACTCCAAAATGCCAGATACCTTAACCCAAAGATTAAAAGTCCCACCAATCAGTTTATTATCGTTAATCAGCCACGAATATTAACACTGTTCATTCCCAGCAAACTGACTCTGAGTTCCCAAGATGCACTCTGTCTGGACCAATCCAACAGCATCCAATCAGGAGAGGAGGACAGGACCTCAGCGTGTGACAGCAGAGACATAAACTTTAATTAAAGTCTGAGAGAATGAGCTGAGGGCAGGAACTCATTAACAAAGAAACAGGAAAGAGAAAAGTTTAACAGAGAGGACGGAAACGTGTGTGTGTGTCTGTGTGTGTGTGTGTGTGTGTGTGTGTGTGTCGGGTAACGAAATCATCCATCAGTGTCATGAAAACACAAACACCAATCAATCAAACTGAACAGACGTGTCTCCAGTTGAACAGGAAGTTGGTGTACAGTCTAATATTTAACAAACTGCTGACTCATGAATCACTTTTATGGTTAAATTTAATTATAATACAAAAAACTTGTGACGAACTCGTGTGCGTACGTTTCACAGAGGAACCGAAATCACACCGATGAGCGCTTTGACTCAGCTACGAGAGCCAACGATACGCTACGAGCCTCGTAGAATATTATAGTATATATATATATATTATAATATTTTCACTTTGACAGGATAAAGCTGGTATTATTTTGCCTTTTTTTATTATCAACAAGTCCTCAAAAGAGACTAAAACTAAGAATAAATGTCTTATCATCTGCTGGCAGAGCTGATATTCCCCTGTGCTGCAGAGCCAAAATCTATTAAAAACACATGAAAAAGACGTTCTGTTGCACCGAGTCTCTAATGGAAAACCTGCGTGGGGGGGGATATCTGACAACAGATTCAGTTTTAACTGTCAATGAAACTCTTTATGCAGATTCCCCGAATGCTTCTATCGGAGGTTGTTTCAGGTTTCTGTACATAAACACTCTCAGTCTCTTCCCTGGAGGTCTGATCAGCAACAGGGGGTCACACACTACAAGATCTTTCACAAGATCAATAACAACATTAATAACAAGCACATCATGTTTAATTAGGAAAGGAGTTTAAAACTTGCACACAAAGAGCAACCATTAGCAGCACACTGCTGTTAGAATGATCCTGATCAGCCAGTGTCAGTAATCAATACTCACATTATTAAAGCATCAATCAAACTAATACCATCAGACAACCTGATCAGCCTTCAGCAGTTAGCTAGTGTTTCTGTAGTGGAGACTAAACGTTAACAATGATCCATATCAGCAGTTTGAATCCAACTAAAAGCTCCCTGCACCAAACTCCCTTTAAGAAATATCACATTTTAACAATTCCTAACGTGTTCGTAACAACACGTAACTCTAGAAACACGAGCTAAAGGCCGTCATATGTCCACAGTCTGACTGTCAATACAGGATCAATATCATCCATACAGATACAGTGTATACTGATCAATAATCCATGCAGATACACTGTATACTGATCAACATCATCCATACAGATACAGTGTGTACTGATCAATAATCCATACAGATACAGTGTATTCTGATCAATAATCCATACAGATACAGTGTGTACTGATCAATATAATGCTGCTTTGCTCTCACTGGCTGTAGCTCCTGATATTTAACCTGAAGTCTTTCTGGTTTTGACGATCTGTCGATGAGCTGATGGATCGCGTCTTTGAACATTTCACACAATGTGAACAGCAGCACTCGACTCTGCACGCGTCGACCCGACCTCAACCAGGCTGTTTTCAAACCCGCCTCCTCGTTCTTGCTCTTTGGCCTAAATGTGATAAATGTGAAGAGCTCTCAGCAGTAACGTGACTAATCACGCTGTTTCCGTTAGCAACGGCTGTGGCTAATAAAGAAACACTTGTAATAACCACCGATGCTAACAGGCAGTACGTCTTTATACCGTTACAGTCCACAGCTCTTTCAGGTTTAATCTCCTGGGACAACAAC